TGGAGCTTCTGTTGTCAAATGAGATGTAGCTGAACTTGTTCTTTCACACATCAACTTCCACCTTCAATTCTAAACTGGAATGGAACTACGTATTACATGTGCTATGCACCAAAGCTTTCCTTAAAAGAGTCTGGTTGTGAACAAATTGCTGACATTAAGTCCATATTTTGGAGGTTTTTTTCAGAGGGAGAAAAAAAGGGGAGGAAAGAGTCGTGGGGTTATTTTGCTTTCCATTAATATACGGGGATAGAACTGATAGGCGAGAAAAAGATTGCAGATTTAAAGAACATTTGCTAGTGCATGTGCCAGATGCTGATAGCTATATATAGCCACTCGAATGAGAATGACTGCGGAGAGTATCTTAGCCAGGCAAATAGGAATTTGCCTGAGTAAGGCCAGGGCAAAGAAGAAAAAAAAAAAAAAGATTCAACATTTAATCTATTGTACATTACTTCTGCTGCAGCAGAAGTTGTGTAAGTACTCTGTGAAATGGAAAAGAACATGTCCTCATGATGACCTTATCTACATTTCACATAAACGTGTTCCCAAATTTAACAGAACCAAATCTATCCTTTTTACCATTAGACTGCTAGTCATTCCTGAATACAACCTCAATTTCCTTGCTCCATAGCCCTTAGAGAAGTAAGCAAAGGACAACAGATAAGGCTTCTTCAATGTAATAAAAAAAGCAGCATGCAGCCTATAAGATGAAATTAAAAAACAGAACTCAGATATAAAGAATATGATTTGTCTTCTTAGGTTTTTCTTATTGTCTCACTCATAACAAAATTTTAGAAAAGAGAGGCACTTGATATTCCTGCCTCTTTTCCTCTGTATACTGGTATCATATTTCTCTTTCCTTCTATCCAGTACAGTAAGTTTTTACCTACAGCAATATAATTTCTAAGTAGTTCAAAATGTGAAACAGCAGTACTTCAGATGACGAGCTATAATTTCTACAAAGCAGTACAATAATTTTTGAAGGACCAGGAGGTTGGGTATGGATTCTAATTAACACTGATGAACCTACCTCCTAAAGATTAAATTCCCAAATGAGTAACTGGTACCTTTCTACACACAGGTCTATCTAACTTATTCTCATTAAAACAATTAAAAAAAAAAAGTATAAGCTTCAGTTTGTGTCAAGATATTGAAGGCTTTCCAAAACTGATTAAAAATATTAAATGAGGTATTGAACTACATTAAAAATCAACCTTTTTCTTATATTGAAAAGTAATGGTCTATAATTTGTATTCAAGTGATTTTATTTCCAGTGAATAATAATTGTACTGGAGCCAACTTGTGCCCTGTTTTTCTGAAAACCTCAAGGGATGTACAGAAGAGGATTTTGTATCCTACTGAAGACGCACACACTTTGCATGACATTGCTTCTTATTTTTCAGTTCTTACAAAGGAGGCTTAACTTGGTTTCATTATGTGCTTATTTTTCCACCAGTGGTTCCTTCAAACTGGTAAACACAAATGAAAGTGCATAGATATTAGATATACTAATAGTCTCTGAAAAGTACTATAAGCTAAATGCAAGTGCATGGAAGGAGAGGACTCAACTTTAATGTATTAGTAAGTGGACTTGCAAATCAGGAGATTTATAACAATATATTCTTGTTTCCTGGTTTTCTCTGTGGAACTTGAAGCTGCCTATAGCCACGTGACATTCAAAATAAAACTGAAATGTCACACAGAACTGCTCATCACTATTTAAGAGCTGAAAGTAGAAGAAAAAACATGTGTAATTGCAAAATTAGGCCTACAGACAGAAAGCAAAGGCTATGAAAGTGGTACAGAGGGTGGTGATCAGTGGCACAAAGTCCTGTTGGAGGCCAGTCACTAGTGGTGTACCCCGCCAGTCAATACTGGGGCCAATACTGTTTAAGGTCTTCACTAATGACCTGGACGATGGGGCAGTGTGCACCCTCAGCAAGTCTGGAGATGACAAAACTGGGAGGAGTGAGTGATACACCAGAGGGTCGTGCTGCCATCCAGAGGGACTTCGACAGGCTGCAGAAATGGGCTGACAGGAACCTCAAGAAGTTCAACAAAGGAAAGTGTAAAATCCTGAATACGGGGAGGAATAATCCCAGGAGCAGCACAGGCTGGGGGCTGACTGGCTGGAAATCAGCTCTGCAAAGAAGGACCTGAAAGTCCTGGTGGACAACAAACTGACCATGAGCCTCACAGTGTTGCCTGCATTAAGCCCCCAGAGCACACTACCTGCCTTACCTAACCCATCTCTGGCACACCTTTTATTTTAGCAGACATCAAGCTTCATTCTACTACCTGCACTCCAGATACCCTATCCCCAAGCTCTTTGCCCCCCTCCTGCTTCCCATATTTTCAGGGCTGCTCTTAGGCAGCTTTCTGCCACTCTCATTTCTGCTTCCATATAGCTTCCCAGACACTGTTGTAGCCTACTTGTCGCCTGCTTTCCCTCATGATGGCATCTCTACTCTTCTGGCCATCCCGAGGCCACTAGGGGATACAAGGTCTTTCCTGGCCATCACCTACAGCCCCACCCTGAACAAGAGAGGCCTCATTTTGCCTGCAAATGTTCGCAGGACCATGACAGCTTTTGTGCTGAGAGCAGCTTAAAACTTCTGTCCCTAGTAGGGGGCAGCGAACATTTGATGAAAAAGAGTTTTATGAGTTTGAAAGAAGAAATTTAAAAAACACATGGAAATTCTTACAAAAATGTACTGGGAGATGTATGATACAAATAACAAGAATGGAAAAACATTTTGAAACAAAAAAGAAGTATGATTGAAAATTAAAGGGACGGTGGATTAGGCAATACTGACTGAAAAAACTTTCAGTCTTGGTCAATACTTCTCCCTGCAGCAATACCAGTGGGTTACCAATTTCATCTTGTGCTACTTGGGATGGAAAATGTTAGAACAAAGGAAATGTCAGGATAAAAGAAAAAAAGCTGGGCTTTTATCATCAGGACTCTCAGCCCTCCAACATGACATCTAAACACTGTCTTTCATTAGGTCAAGTTTCAAACCCCAACAACACCTATAGTACCAACTATTTTCTTCTGAGTAGTATGTCCATCATTTTTTACAATCCCTTATCTCTTTTTTTTAACCTACCAGACAATGGTTTTTGTCCACTTCCTTCAACTTCAGCTGTTTATATTATGCTATCAAATACTGTTTCAGAAATACTATATCCCACAAAAATCTGTAAGAAGGTGGTGAACACTTTAGTAGCTACCCTGCAGTCCACTGTCTCCTACCATACCCTGCATTGCCATCAGTATTTAAGCAGGTTAGTTTAAAGGTATCTCAAATACTTCTACATGCCTAGAAACTGCAGTATAAATTTACCCTCATGCATCAGTATGGATTACACACAACAAATGAAAGCTTTCTTTCCTGAGGTAGTTGAATTTGGAATGCAAATGGTAAAACCTGAATTTCAGACAAACAAATGATTGCCTATCAAAACTCCTTTCCAAACTAGTCCTTAGAGTATTGCATACATTTAAAGGGGGAAAATTTGAAAGATCCAGACAACTGCCACAGGCATCTTTAATTCTAACAATGCATCCCACTTGCAGATAGAAGCACAAGTCTGAAAGAGGTGATAATAGCTAAATGGATATTAGTATCTGCCATTACCTGATCTATCCGCACAATTACAGCAGTTTGTGAATTCTAAGTTTGCTTATCAAATCTGGTTTAAGAGCCTAAAACAACTCCTTTTCAGGAACAACATATCACCTCTGTGTTGTTTGGAACTGATGGAACTTTAACTCAGAGAAAAACCACATGGGTATAATGCCTGAAAGAGCTGAGAGAAGTAATTGCTTCCAGAGAGATTTCATTCCCAAACCGAACCGAAGGGGGAATACAACAGTAAACTCCATTTCTGAAAAACAGGCATTAAGAGGCCAGTGAACTCCACCAAAGATTAGATTTTTCCTCTCCTTCACCAATGCCAGAAACAAAAATGTTAAGTCTAAAAACATCTCGACACACCACAGCTGTCAAATAAGAGTAAACAATCACTATCTCTGCTCTGAGAAAGTCCCAGTGATTCAGCCAAATAAAGTAGTTTAGTCCTATAAATACTCTAAATTGTTTAAGCCATGGGAGGTCTACCAATTTGCACAAGAGGATGACGTGACCATTTTTGTATTGACATACAGGCCTCTAAATACACCTAAGGAAAAAGATCACCCTTCATTCTGCCAAAAGCAGTCACTTCCTCCCCATCCAAAAAGCTCAAACAGCACATCACAGATTTTGTAAGTGATAAAGCAAGGTGTCCTACTGGCATAAACAGAACATGAAATAAATGAACATAAAATAAGTCCAAGCAGAAATACATTTAATATCTATACTGATAACAGAAATGTTATCTAGAAGCTTTTTCAGACACGTTCTCATACTTGTAGCATGGCTGCGTTTCTACAGATGGTGATTCTTTAGGAAGAAAACCTCAATCATCTTAGAAAATGGTTTGAAACAGAAACAAATACTACAAACTAACAGGAGAGTCTCATTGCTATAATTCTCATCTATTCCACAGATCTCATATTGTTTAAGTAATTTATTTAGACGGTGAAACTACTTCGACAACACTGAAGGTGGGGAAACGACTTCTGACCATGAGCACTTCATTTAATCATTGCCAAAGAGAAAAAAGTCAATGAAATACGAACAGTTAGACTTAATACTCAACTCTAGCAAAAAAAAATACAAATAAAAAATATCCAGACTTTATATATGGGCAGTAAGGAAAAAAAGTCAGTGAAATAATATATACTATTAGTGACGTTGTAGGAGATGATGTAGTCCTGAAGACAGTGAGCATTTCACTGTTGAGGTGCCTTTACTGTGAGGCTGGTATTTGCAATATAGTATATTGATGTTATTTAAAAAAGTAAACGTGCAAAGCGACAGATGCAATTTGCAGTTCTAAGCCACCATCATCCATCCAACGGTGGATGTCATAAAAAGCGTAAAAACACTTACCTCTTCTTGCTTAGGAATGTTGAACTTGGCTATCTTTGACTTGGTCCTAGCCGAATCGGGCTTGTTAGAAGGCACTCCCCTATATGACTTGGTCGTATCTGCTGGTAACTTCAGCTTTGGAGATTCATCAGGAGCCTGGTCTTGACCATCCATTGGCCTTACGTAAGCTGTGGGTTTCTGCTGCACCAGACCGGGCTTCGAAGCAAGAGAGGGTGGGAAGTTTTGGACGCAGTGCCCACCACTGTGCTTTGCTGGCCTCTCTTGTGCTTGAGCTCCTCCTTCCGAGCTACAATTGAGCTTTGCCGGCTGCTGCACTCTGTTGACGTTTTCTCCTAGCGTGGCCCTCAGTGAACTTTGCTGGGCAGTGTTGGAGGAGGAGGAGGAGGTGGGACTCGATGCATAGCGTTTTAGTTTCTCCAGACTGGATTTTTGGTTTGCCAGTTTGAAGTCACCTTTGTGTGACTCCAGTGACCGGTGCCCATGCTTGCTCGCTCTCTGCTGGCCATCTGAAGCGGCATTGTGGCCAGCCTTCTGCCAACCCATCATGGTGCTTTTGCTCTGCTGGGCAGGCAGAGCTGCTGGTGTGGAAGAAGTAGTGCTGGAAATGGGAGGAGGAGGTGGCGGTCTGGAGTCTGCAATATGATGTTCATCAGGCTTGGGGAGAGACGACTGAGGAACCCCAGGTTTTGGAACCCCAACAAGGTGGCTCTGGTTTGATCGGTCAGTTAACAAGTCTTTCATTTCATCATAGTTGCCCAGTGTATTCTGGATACGATTTGAGAGCTCATCCCCCTTGTTAGTCTGCAAAACAAAAATCGAGTGTTCTGCAACAGCCAATGTAAGAACAACAAAATTCCCTGCATGCTTCTGCTGAAATCCTTACTGAAGTAGCAGTGCCTTATTCAGCAGCGGCGTTGAGGGATGAAATCGAAAATCCTTATTGTCTCTGAAGACACTTGTCAACATCTTAAATCTACCCTGAACTGGAAAAGCTATAAAGGGCCTTAGAGTATATAAAAAAAGAAATCTATCACTGGTATCATGCTGTAGTTAAAGTATATTACCTGGAAACTAGAAAATTTATTATTGCGACTACACAGAATGGTTTGGATTAAATCTGACCATGATAAAACTTTTGCTATAGCCCAGTGCAAGCTCTCCTTCAGCCGTGAATGAAAACATTGCATTCCCAGTTTCCTTCTCTGCCTGCCTAAGTTTTCACATGGCATCTGGGAAGGCACGCAACATCCAGTGTAAGCACTGAATGAATTCACCAGTCTAAGCCAACCAAATACTCTGAGGTGAGTTGAAGACAGTTCCTGAGACAATGGAAAACTAAAGATGTTTATGTCCCTTCTTCAAAAATACTCTGAAAGGATGGTTGCTCCAAGGCACTCTCCTTTTTAAAAAAAGACGAAGGTGAACAGAACTCCCGAAATTCTTCACATTGCTCGCTGCTTGCTGTGTGCAGCAGGGGGAACACAGCCACCCTCCCTCCCTCCCGTTTAAGATTAATAGTTGTCTTTAAAATCATCAATTTACTTCCTGACTGAAAAGGCAAAAGCTCCACAAAAGAAATAAAACAAGCAAATAGAACATTCTGGAAAAGATTGAAAACTCTTGCTTTAAAAAGCCACAGTAAGCAAAAGGGTGTATCATTAGCATTTATGCAGCAGAGATTTTTATGAACCCTGCCAAGATTCAGGCATGTGATGTTCTGTTCTTTGCTTTACATTTTCAGAGGAAGACTGTAATGAGCCAGTGGTGTTCTCCTTTCTCTCTTCCAGACATGTGGTCTGGATGGGAAAACTCCCATTGGCTTCAGAAGGCCAAGCTTTCACCTCAAGACTCTCTGTTTTAGAGTAAAACAGAAAGAAGGAGAAAGAAGGGAGCAAAGGGAGTGGAGAAGACCCCTTAAAGTTATATGAAAAAACACAAAAGATGTAGCAGCAATGTTGGTTACTCTGGACAATTGAGGATATTTTTGTTTTTAAGCCTTCAAATAAAATTGAGTCACTCAAACTCAATTATTTTTTTTTAGCATGGGTTGGACTAGATGATCTCCAGAGGTCCCTTCCAATCGCTATCATTCTGTGATTCTGTGAAACAAAAATGTAAGGGAAACTCCTCTAGTTCAGAATCTTTTATTTCAGGGTTTCCTGTTAAAAAAACCTGAATCCAAGCAAAAACACTCTGTAAATGAGTGCAGTGATTGCCACATGCTAACTTTCAGAGGACTACAGTGGAAGTATTCCTAAATCAGACAGTCCTGTCTTGCTTGAAACTTGTCCCCTCAAATTTCAAGGACACTACCTTGCAATTGTGTAAAATACATTACAGCTTTCTGATAAGCATTTGTTACAATGCTAACAGAGCTGACAAGATATCAATAATATATATGGAAGGGAAGTGGGGAGGGAAAAACTCAGAAGTGTTTCATCCGAAACACTGCTTTACAATAAGATGGTCAATCACTACAGCTTCATCTCTCTGCATATGCAGCTGTGGTTGTCACAAGGACCATGTCCTGCTATGAAAAGAAATATGAAGCATTAATTCACACACAGCAAGTGGCTTAGAAAAAGGATGTTCCTTTGCTTCACAGGAATCACATCAACGTCTTATAGAAGAGGAAACTACTAATGAGGCTTCAAAATTGGGAATTACATCTGAAAAGGAAGAAGTTTTGAGATATACTCATGGTTCTCCTGGCGTCAATGAAATGGCTTCTACACTTGGGCATTTCCTTGACCAGCAGAATTATTTTCCAGAAGGCAGAGAAAATTTTCTTTTTACCCAGTGTATCTCTTCTATGCTTCCAGTGGATCCTCCACCTCCTGTAGATACCTTGTAGAGAGATATTGTTCCAGCTTCCCTCTATGGGGGGAGATATGCCCTTGGGCCTGCATCCAATCTGATTCCGCCAGCGTGTATATAAGATTTCCTTCCCTGCCAGGAGCACAGCGACAAGGACCACCAAATGGAACAGGGTCCCTGACACCCACAAGTCTCCTGCAGCACAGACAGCTTGTGGGGCAACTCTCCACTGGGCTGCCTCTAGGCCCATGAACATAAGAGAATTTATGTGCAAGTTTTGCCCCTAGGAAGTCCAGCTTCCCTAACAGAAGGTCATTCTTCCTGATGGCTGGTATTTGGATGGGAAGGAAATAAAAGCCTAATTGCAGATTATCTGTAGACTACCACTAGCCCAGAAAAGTCAGTAGATTGTCTTCTACATGGATGTGATGTGAAGGTCACACAGAGACACCTTGTACCGAGAGATCCCAGAAAAGCACAAGAATAATTGCAGCACACTGATCTAACGCCAGTACCACGGCACATGCTGACAACTGGTTGGTGTCGTTTGTTTCTTCTGGATACACTGGGGACAACCTGAGGTGAGAAGTTTTTGTGCTGAGCTGATCTCATCCAGAAAAGTTCATCTACATCCTTTTGGGAACAAGATGGGATATGAGGTAACTTGTTATAAGCTTTAGATGTAAAAGTTTGTCCTATTATTTGCTCTGAAATATTGTTGGCCTTATTTAATCATTCACACAGGGAAAACAGGATCATAAAATAAGTAGGAAAAGCATTCTGTGCAAACATTTAGAACTTACAGTGCTCTACTGTTCTTCTGCCATGCAAGATGAATCAATGCATTTGAAGACTGCAAGATCCAACATTTCTAAAATAAACCTCACGGTTGCATGGAAGGCCATTGGAAATTTCTTCTTCATTAAAAATACTGATATGGTTAACGAGGCAAGGCATTCTGTCCAGGAAATACCCAGAAAGAAGTTCCTACTTTTTCACCCCCTGTAAAAGACATTTTAAGTAAAAGATACTGGATTTCCTGTAATCCTTCATAAAGGGTTGCTATGGATACTTTGAACAGGATAAGGGGCAACCCAAAGAGTCAGGATTTTTCAGAAAGTCTGATGTTACAGGAGTAGTGATATTTGTCAAGGTGAGAGAGGACGTAAGATTTAAGAGATTTCCAGTCTGCCTTTGATTTTCAGATATGGCCTTCTGAATGGCAAATCCTTTGGCTTTAGGTCATGTTTCTCAAGCTGTGCAGAGGAATACTGAATTTAATCAGAGCTTGCAGTGAATGTCTGCTGCAACTTCATTCCCTTCTGTAAACACCTAAAACTTGAACATGATCTTTAAAGACAGTAAGAGTGGGTTTCAGCTTTGTTTTTGCAGAAAGGTTTCTTCTTTTGCAGTTAGCCTCTCTCCACGATAAGATCAAAATGCCCAAGCCACAGCTCTGCACCCCCACACTGAAGGTTCACAAATGCTTGGATGAGTTCAGACAGCTCAATGGTCCATTGCCAGCATAGACACGACGTTCAGGGTACACCACTACTGAAGTTTTGATGTCCAGTACTGTCAGAATGACTGGTCATCCCAAGCAGCTGTGACTGTCACACCAGCAGTGATGTGAGTGAGTTATACTGCTGTCCTGGGCGTTGCCTTTCTGCACGTTTCCTTCACAAAGCTAGCTGCAGGATGTATTTCTGTAGCACCTTCTTTACACACTTGTCCAAAATAGGGACATAGTGTTTAAAGATAAGAAGCATGGATGGAGTCATTATTCTGATCTCCCCATAGGATACCCACTCAGTATCCTCTCTGCTTCTAGAGATGGCAAGGATTTTTTCATCCACTGCTATTAAAATGGACGGAATTATACTGTGGTTGCATAAAGGTGCCTTCAGACATCATAACTCAGAAACTACTGGTGTGTCCATGATACATTAAGTCTGTGCCATGACAGTCAATATATTGGCACACAATAATCAAAGTGCATAAAATATTCCAACTATATCACTTTTATAAGTGATTTGAGCTTCAGTATTACTAACTTTAAGTACCACAAACAAAACAGCATCAGGGACACAGCAAAAGGATAGACCCTTTTTGTGAGGGGTCTATTTGATTGGACCTACCAAATGGAAAATTATTAAGTCCCCATTGCAGTAGAGCCCTCATGAAATGAAATGCCAAGACACAGTTGACTTAATGTTTTCAGGCTTTTTTCCATGGATTAGCCCTTGATTGGTCTCACAGTAGACTTTTTCAAGTAGAGCCTTGAGGAGTTCAAGACATTTCCCATGGTTTCTAAATGCCTTTGTAATGAATCTGAAATGCGGGCAGCTGGAGGTCAGCTTAAAGGCAGACAGAGCTGTCTTCTATCAAGGGACATGGTTTGAAAGTGGTAGATCTTTCTTTTTTATTAGGGACTAGAAACAAACAACAATCTGGAAGAACAGCAACCTAAAAGCTGACCCTGGAGCATGGGCAGAAACACGGAAGTCAGGTGCAGAACCCAAGTGTCAGAACCCAAACAAGACTCCTGGAAAGAGACACTGAAGCACCCAACGCATCAAGGACAACTGATGCTGCATGGAGGGAAAGGCGTCACGTGGTGGTTGAAACAGTAACTTGGACATTACTGGAAGGGCACAGTAAATAATACATGATGATGCTTTGATGTACACAGGCAAAGTCACTGGGTTACCTGGGGGAGAGAAGCAGCCGCCATGGGATACTGCTCTCTGGTCCTGTTCACAAGGGCTTGATTTGCAGGCTTCTGTGAAGTGCAGAAGATCCTGCTTGACAGTCCTAACAGGGAGTGGGGAGAGCCAGTTGTGCCTCATCACACTACTATTACCATGAAGAATAAAATAGGGAGTTGAGACTCATAAGTTACTTCTGCCTTTGGTGAGGGCAAAATATGTCTAGCAGACAAATTTTGTTGGTAATGCTTATAGGGGAAAAAAAAAACAACAAACACCAAGATATTTCATTGCATTAACCTTGGTCAAAGAATGTTTACTGTATTGCCTGACCTTCACACACAATTGTAACACAATTGTTTTCTTCTAAGTGTTGCCAAAACAGGGCACTGTCACCTTCACCTCCTATTTTTAATTCCATCTCAAATATTGTTAGGATATTTTTAGGTTATTTCATTCTCGTGTGCTGCTGAACATGGTAAAAAGCTTATACAAATATAGATATAGATATATAGATATAGATATAGATAAAATCCAATTCTAAATGAACCATAAATGTTCTCTGTGAATTTTGTGAGGCTAGCACTTGCGGGAGGGTGCTGAAGCTTGGACAATGCCTTCTCCAGGCTGCATTTCTGTACTGTGGAATAAATAAATAAATAAATAGCCATCCAGCTGGGAAGCATCTACCTTGTATGGTTCACTGAAGAGGGAGTAACTCGTGTTAAACGCACCATCCTCCTGCTGGGCCTCCTGGTTTCTCCTTTCCCATTCTTTCCTTCGCAGCACGTTTCTATCCGGCTCGTAGACACTGCAGCAAGAAGGAGGAATAGCTTTTTAAGAGTTAAAAATTAGCGGGCAACATATAAACCAGCGTGAATTTAAAAGTGAAGAAGTCTGGTCTGCAGACAGATGGCAAAAATAAGCAAAAACATGAATCAGATGAATGCCAGTCCAAGCAGGCTAGGGAGGCTCAGGTCTCTGGGAATGCTGGTGCTTTCTTCACACAGAGAATAGATAATTAAATTCTTACAGAAGAATAAAAAAGAAATCACAGGGCAGGATCCAGTCTGCGTAGAACTTCTCTGCTTGAAATGTGACAAAGGAAATATCTAAGCAACTTTGACAAAGACTGAAAGCACTCTTAAGGCAGATGGTAATTACAGCTATGAGTAAATAGAAATTATGAACATATTTCCACTTATGACATATCCTCTGAGTGTTGTATGAGAATGCTCCTTTTTTCACATGGATGTGTTTCTGTAGTGATTCTTTCATTAACTAGCTCCCTAAAGAGCTGTTAAAACTACATGCTGTAGTGGTTTCCACAGTTAGGCTGCTTCGTCTGATCTCTGTTAATCAGCCAAGTCGTGAAACTACTACTGAAACAATTCCTCTTTCTGATGGATTTGACACTATCACAACTTCAGAGCATGAATAAATGAATACTGGCATGATAGTGTACGTATGGCTGGTAGAGTGTAGATGGAGAGAGAATAAGATCACTGCATCACACAAAAGTATTAATTTTCAGAAATTAACTAGTCTGGCTCCAATATAGACATCCAGAATAAAAATTAACTGTTTTTTTTTCTCCAGAATTCTATTTTAATTCATGACAACATAAAACAGAGAACCCTTTCCCTGAATTTCCACAGAACAACACAGGTTCGCACATTTCAGTCTGTTAGGTTTAATCTCCTCACAAAGGAAACCAATGTGTCTAATAAGGTTTACGTGTTATTTCAGGACAATGTGATGAGTATGCTGATTGCCTATTTTGCTTAGCTCAGCTAATGCCTTTCTTCTGGCACTGTAAATCTGTAAAGTAGAAATATATATTAATGTCATGTAAGTGCACCATGTGTTAATAAGAAAAAGATTGTCTTGCTAACCAGCTTCCCAGTTAGCAAAACATATGTTGCATCGGCTACCCACGTGATGTTGTTACCTAGTACGCCTCAGGCAAGGCAGTCAAAAGGCCAACAGCTATCTGATTCTAATTCAAGACTTGAGAGAGCTGAAAATACATATGACATGTTAGACTCTATTAGTATTTAAAAACAATGCCTTAGCAGTCACCAAACGAACACAAAATCTTATGTTTACTTGTTAATGCTGCTGACTCAAACTGGACTGCTGAGTACCCTTCTGATGGTTCTGAGGGCATCTGAGGGCAGATGACAAATGCAGAGCAGGGCTCTCAAACACGGGGGTTTATTGTGAACACAGGGCTTTATTGTGAACACAGGGCTTCAGTACAGCAGGTTGGAGATACCTTCCAAACACCAGTTTGGTTATTCCACTTACAAATGGCTGAGGTTTTTTTGATTTTATCCCATATTTTTGGTGAGCAATGCATGTTATTCACGCCAACACGCTCTCTTTGAAAAGCAGTGTCATGAGGAGGTGATCACAGGAGTGGAGGTTTGGACATGGAAGATGCCTTCCTCCAGGAAGAAGGGGATAAAGAAGGCCTCCCCATTGGGTCCCTGTGAGCAGAACTCATCTGCTGTACATGCTTCTGAGGCCAAAGGCAGAGCAGTTGTCATTTACTGCTACGTGAGCAATGGTCCTCAGTTACTGCATCACACTATCTGAGCATACTCCCATCAGTTAAGTCAGGGTAAAAGACTTTCTAACAACAACCTCAGTGTTTAAACTAGACTTTCTGCCACACTGAATAGCTGTTGTTTGGTTGGGTTTTTCTGGAGTGGTAGGGATCAGGTTATAACTTCATCCTCAGTTACGTTTCCCCATCCAGAACATCTTGACTCTTTTGAGAGTCTCGAGACTTTGCATTTGGACTCTAGCCTGCAGTCAAATAGAGATGGGCAACTCCCCTGAGATTAATTATAATGCTGATCTCTACCTGGTTTCTAGGAAGTAAACAAGTGCAACATTCTTCACTAGGCCTCACAACAGATTTAAAAATGCACTGGTGTGATATTACTGAAGTGGAAGGACATTTTAATCCCTTTATTTGATGGAAACGTATTTAATGAAGACATACAAGTCGTCAGATCTCTGAACCCCCTTCCTGAACAAGAAGTTCACCGTTGGCAATGCAAGGCAAAACCTGCAATAATTCAGAATGATTATGCAAATAGCAAAACTGTGTGACAATGCCTAATATGCCATCTATAATCAGTTAAGTTAGGAAGAGCTAGAAGTTAAGAGTTGTATTCCTTTGGTAATACCAGATGGCAAAATCTCTAGCATTTGTGAGGCTGCTCCTTATTTGCATGAACATTGCAACAATCACATTTCCTTAAACGTATGTCACCAAATGTATTTATTTATTTTGGTTCAAGGAGAATACAGCCAAGTGCTCTAACTGTCTTTATGGCAAACACTTCAGTTAGTGGAAAATGATCCTTTCTAATAGTTTTCTTCCTTTTTTTTCTTTCTTTAAAATTTGTAATTTAAAACAATCCCAAACGTACATGTACCTTTTTAATAATTTACAGTGTGTTTCTTTTACATAGCTAAGCCATGAAGAACAGGTTCATGAAAATCTCAATTTTTTTCCTCATTGGGGCATGTGTGCCTATGTGGGTGATGTATGTATATATATACATATATCATATGCATGCTCACACATCAGTTTATTGATGAAGAGTTTTGCTAGTATGGGCCAAAACGTTGAATCAATTTTGCAAGACTTGGAAACTAAAGAACGTGTAACCATTCATCTCTCAAAAGTCAGTGTCACTTATATCTGTTTCATACAGGTCAAACTCCAAAAGGATGAATTTAAACAGTTGTTAAACAGTATATTGTTATTTTTGAAATGCTGCACCTGTTTCTAATTCATGCTCAAAAGACATGGACTGAAGCATGAGTAAGAAGTCAAATACTTGCATAAGTTATATATGAATAAATACTGTATTATAAAAATTACACTATCTCAAATTTAGCACACTGCTTTAAAAACACCCTTTGATTTATCTCAGCCCTAAGGCAAGAGACATACTGGACATGCCAATTAATTACATCCAAATACCAGTGCCTCAGGCTCAAAGCACCTTCAGCACACCACCACCACCACCCAGTCACAGCCACCCTACCTTCTCCGCTTCTTCTAGGACACTTTTTGAGTATTTCACTCAGGTAGTTTACAGATCAGAATATCAATGGATTGCCAAACTTCTCAGAGTAGGTATGTTTAACAAATTTTGGTCTGTTGCGATGCCTTTTGGAAGATTACCTCGATGGCTACCTGCTCTTTGGCCATTTGCTAGGTGAGCGTGGCTCCCCATGAGACAAGTCTCAAGAGGAGAGCCCAGACACGCTGGTGCCTGATGGGAGGGTGGCTGTGGCACCAGCATCCCCACAATACTGACAGAAATGCTCATAGCTTTCTTCACGCTACTCCTGACATCAGAAGGAACCCCTTCCTTTAGTCCTTAATTAGAAATAGACAGAGATGGCTCAGGGGACAGCCTAGGAGCAGAGCAATAACCTTACTTGAAAAACCTGGGACTGGATTTTATCTCCTACATAACCTTACCTGAAAAACCTGGGACTGGATTTTATCTCCTACAAAGTCCAAAGAGTTATGTAGTCTCAGGCTAGGCTGAAAGCAATCATATAAAAAGCCTGAAGTTTTAAGTGTTGAAGAGTCTTTTTTCTTTCTTTCTTTCTTTCTTGCTTGCTTGCTTGCTTTTATTTTCTTTTTTCTTTTTCTTTTCTTTTCTTTTCTTTTCTTTTCTTTTCTTTTCTTTTCTTTTCTTTTCTTTTCTTTTCTTTTCTTTTTTCTTTTCTTTCCTTCTTTTTTAAAGCACACTTTTTCTGACTCAATCTACCTATCTCAACTATCACTACTTGGAACAACTTAAATAAAAAAGTCTAATCTCCATGACGAACTGGGTGGAGAAAAAGCATGCACGTATTCTCCTGTCCTCCAGTTTTAGGGAATGCCCACATCTTGCATTCAGAGGAAGATGTCCTTTTCCATAAACTAAAGCACTGCACCTTCACTAAGGAATTACACGCCTTTGCAGATGTATGGAGTGCATTAATGACGCTACATGACCTTTTCAGAAGCCACAAAATTGCCACATCACTAAGCAGAGATACCGTTATTTTGTTACGAGATCACCATCCTCGCAACAGCTGGCATCTTCGATGCTGTAAAAGGTATAGGTAGGTAAATTGAAAGCAAGATTGCTGATGCTCCCCTTGCCTTGCATCAGCTTATTTTCTGGCAAAGGAAGGGGGCAGTGGCTCAGGCTGCCCTACCAGCATGACAGAGGAAGGTGTTACTGGGCTTATACACACGCCTGGCAACAATGACTGAACTCGTTATAGTTTACAGTAACCTGCAACCTTGCCTTTGCCTTTCCAGACCTTTCAATATCATTTTCCAGTCCAAAGATTTAGTTCATTATTCTTTGAATTGTGAAGGCTTTGCAGCACCACCTCATCTCACCACACCTCCCCCGCCC